ATATAATGTAATGTGTAGAATATTGTGAAGTATGAAGTGTGGAGCGCGAAGAATGGTGTGTGGAGTATGGAGTGGAGAGTGTGAAATGGGAAATATGAAGTGTGGAATGGAGAATGTAAAGTGTGAAACACGAAATCTGGAGAATTAAATTTGGAATATGGATTCTGGAATATTAAATAATTAATATTGGGAAATATTATTTCAAATTTTATAATATAAAATAATATTGGGAATTATATTCTATAAGATTTATAATACGAAATAATATTGGAAATTATCTTGTATAAGATATATAGAATAAATATTTATAAAATTAAATAATATTGTGAGGTATTGTGTATATATTTTGTAATTTAAAATAATATTGTGAAATATTCCAGATTATTATTTTCCTAATTTTAAATAACATTATACAGATTTATATGGATACATATTTATATAATATTTATCTGAATATATTTATATGATTATAATTTCAATTATATTTTTATATAATTATATATGTATTTTTTTTTTTCCCCAAATCAATTATTCAGGAGCCAATAATTATATTAAAAATAATAAGGGAGAAAAAGAAAACAAAAAAAATATTGGATACAAATATAATGAAAAGAAATGAAATAATTATATTTATTTATTTATATCGAATATATCTTTATTCCCAATTCGCAAATAATTCAAATATATAAAAAGAAGAGGAATTTGAATAAAATATATTTAAAAAAATTCTCAAATCGAAGATATTGATTTTGTCCTCGTTTCTTGACAACAAGAAAATAATATATAATATTATATCATATATTATAATGACATATTTGGAGAAATTTCTGATTATGAAAATTTTCGTAGCCTGCTTTTCACCTATACGATGCCTATACAGGGAAATTCCTTTATTTTCGGATTTTATTATAAATATTTCGAAATTTGAAATTCTGCAGAAAAGGAAATGAACTAATTCCATTAAATTCTAATTTTCAACAAAATAATTATTATTTTCTAATTATATATATATTTTTAATAACGGACATTTCAGATACCGCATCGAATTATATTCATCAAATTGTTTATTCTTAATCCTTAAATTATACAATTCGTTGATTCCGCGATCATCTATACGAATTCCATTGCAAAATCAACCAATATATATTTATATTAATATTATTTCCTAAGAAATTATTTATATCCAATTATATATAGGTCAAATTTCACATAATTGTTTATTATATTTATAAAATTAGATGATGGATGGCCCGAAAACATAAAAAAATAGAATTTTCTATTATTAATATGGAAATATTATATTATATTACAAGATAATATATTATGAAAAAAATAATATCAAAAATAATATATTATAAATACAAAATCATAATTTGTATCATAAATTTCATTTCACATTTCCCATATAATATTTTTCATAAACAAATATATTTATACATAAAATTTTTTTATATACAAAATTATACAGATATTTTTACAAATAAACATTTTTACAAACAGAGATTTTTAGACACAATTTTTTTTACATACAAACACCTTTTCATTTTTACACACAAACACTTTTATATACAAACATTTTTCACACAAACACTTTCATATACAGATATTTTTACCCACAAAAATGTTTACATACAAATATTTTTACATTCAAATATTTTTACACACAGATGTTTCCACACACAAACGCTTTTACACACAAACATTTTCATACATAAAAATTATTACACATACATATATATAATTACCCACGAATATTTTTATACACAAAGATGTTTACACACAAAAACTTTTATATGCAAACCCCTTTACACATAGATATT